GAAATGAAAAAAATCACTGGAACACACAAATTACCAATTACATGATGAAACAGAAAACAAACAAACAAAAAAAAACAGCCCTACAGTCTATTAGATAAATCGAAGTATAATATATATTTTTTAAAGATGACCGGTAAGGGGATCTTAACCCTTGACTTGGTGTTGTCAGCACCACGCTCTCCCAAAGTGAGCCACGGGCCAGCCCTGAAGTATAATTTTAAAGCCTTCCTACAAAGAAAACTCTGAAACAATAAGGCTAGGCCTGTGAACCAAACTGTTAGGTCTCTGAATCTGACTGAAATCACCAAAGACAGACTCTGCCCATGGGGATGAAAGCCCAGACTTACGCTTGGTGGTGTGCAAAACCAAGGACTATATATAAAAACTAATGATTATGAGCTTGAAAATTCTATAACCCTCCTCTTTCTACAACAAGCGGGACTCTGTTTGGCATTAAAGGAAAAGTGCTGGGTATATACAGATCATATTGGAGTCGTTGAAGACTCCATGAAAAGGTTACGAGAACGCATCAGGCAATGGGACTTAGAACAAGAACAGTCCTCTAACTGGTTTGAATCCTGGTTTAACTTTTCTCCATGGCTAACAACTTTAATTTCTAGCCTTATGGGACAACTAATAATTCTCCTCTTGCTAATAACCTTGGGTCCATGCCTTTTCAATAAACTCCTCAATTTAATTCGGTCCTGCATGCAAGAGGTCAAATTACTGGTTCTCCATTCCCAGTATGATCAAATCCCACTAAAAGATTGGGAACACATAAATTGGGGACCAGATATTGACCCTTAAGCAAAGATTTGCTTTTAAAAGTTCCCTTAAAGGGCCGGCCCGCGGCTCACTCGGGAGAGTGCGGTGCTGAGAACACCAAGGCCACAGGTTCGGATCCCATATAGGGTTGGCCGGTTTGCTCACTGGCTGAGCGTGGTGCTGACAACANACCAGATATTGACCCTTAAGCAAAGATTTGCTTTTAAAAGTTCCCTTAAAGGGCCGGCCCGTGGCTCACTCGGGAGAGTGCGGTGCTGAGAACACCAAGGCCACAGGTTCGGATCCCATATAGGGATGGCCGGTTTGCTCACTGGCTGAGCGTGGTGCTGACAACACCAAGTCAAGGGTTAAGATCCCCTTACCGGTCATCTTTAAAAAAAAATAAATAAATTTAAAAATAAATAAATAATTTTAAAAAATAAAAATAAAAATTCCCTTAAAACCAGTGGGGAATGAAGTAATGCCCTCTTTTCTAAGAGCAGGACCGATGCCACTTAAGATAGCTCCTCCATTGTGTGAAAGTTAGGCGGGAAAGTGGGGGTGGGACGGGAAGAGCTCTGCTAACTACAAAATTAGCTCACGTACTGTTGGCTTGTTTGCATTGGCTACTATCTCTTGGTGCGGTGATCGGGCGACCAAGTTGCCGCGCTTGCAGCTTTAAAAACCGAGAACAAAGATGGTTCAGGGCTGCACCTTGAATTGACTGGTGCAGTCCGGCTGCTGGAAATAAAAATCTTTTTCTCTTTTTCTATATCAGTCTCCAAGGGTGTTTTTTTCTCCCGATGCCTATAACAATTCCAGGCCCAGAAGGCTTCACTTGTTATACTTCTCGCTGTGTAACAGAGACAAAAAAGAGATTACTCAAAGCAAATATCAATGCATTGAGAAGCCCAAAGGGCGGGTTCGGATCCTATATAGGGATGGCCNAACTTGTTCTCCAGTTGTTCTTTACATGCCCTTGTGGATTTTCACCCGACACATGTACATCTTAGCATTCAGTAAAGACTCAAAGGGACCTCTATGCAAATTTCTGGGAATCTTTTTCCTTATAGCAGCATCTCCTCCAGAATTCTTCCCTGCAACTTCCAGCTGCTTCATCTTCATCCCCCAGAAAAAAGTAAATAAAAGAAAGGGAATATTAAAGATTAAAGCAGAGGCCAATTAAATAGAAAATTAACAAGTATAGAGAAAATAGCAAAAACGAAAGTGGACTTAAAATATTTATAAACTCTAGCTAAACTGATCAAGGGGAAAGAGAGAACATGCAAATTACTAATATCACAAATGAAAGAGGGGTATCAAATACTTAAAAGGATAAAACAAGAATATTATGAACAATGTTATGCCAACACACTTGACAACCTAGATGAAATGAAAAAAATCACTGGAACACACAAATTACCAATTACATGATGAAACAGAAAACAAAAAAAAAAACAGCCCTACAGTCTATTAGATAAATCGAAGTATAATATATTTTTTTTAAAGATGACCGGTAAGGGGATCTTAACCCTTGACTTGGTGTTGTCAGC